TTTGTTTTTAATTCAATAACTAAAGGTTGAYTACTGGAGTCTTGGGACAGTGCTGTTTGAGTGCATTACTGGGATACGCCCATTCCCAGACCTTTCTCCTGTGAATTGGTAAGATGATAATAATGATGAGTTATATTACTGATTAGAGACAATTTTTGGTTCACAATTATTTATCAAATATAGTTATATTTTGTTTCAACATTTTTTTAAATTTCTTTTTTATTTTCTTTGCTTTGCTTCTTCCATCCTGTTATCTTCCGCTGTTTTCCCTTTCTATCCCTTTCCTTCCCTTTTCCTCCATTGGATTGTATTTTTTACTTTTTTCGTCTTAGTTATTGCATTTATATTTCCTTCCATCTAGGCATAGAGAAATTGGTCAAAAGTCACCAAGACATATTCACGCTTTTTACAATGCATCTGGTAAGAACCATACGGCAGTGTCTTAAAGCAAACATGTTGACACAATGTACTGGTTTTTATAAGCAACAAGACAGAACATACATATGAGAAATAAAAACTGTACTGATAAAGGAGTTTTATACTTATTACAATGACATATTTTAGAGTAAGACACTGGGAAATTGCTTATCAGTAATGTCAGATAATGTCTTGAAAATTTGAATCCTTTTTCATTATCTTTTTTGCAATTTATACAGATGAAATAACCTTTTCTGAAGTTTTCCCAGAACTCAACACTCTTTCCAGGTGAGTCCAATAAATTTATTTTGCATTTCACCAAGAAAAACACAGTGAGAGTCAGTGAGTAGAGACAAAGAAAGCAACAAAATAACATTTTATTGATATTTCCTAGGAAGTGACTTCTTGAAGTTTTCACAATTTTTTTGACGACTCAACTTCTCAACCCATGTAGTTAGCCAAATATGAAAAGACTTTCAATAATTTAAATTCAATTCAACAGATGCTTTCAAGAGAAATACGTAAATCTTCTGCGATTGCTGTTGTTATGGGATCCTGTTAAAAGRGGTGGCCAAGTGCATGAAGATGGCTCTCGGCAATGCTATAAATTATTACATMAAATATTGGATTCAAAGGTTAGGTCATACTCTAGGTCTTACCTCTCTAGCTTGGTGCTTCAAAGACTTTGATTGTATGTATGATTGTATTTCCATCAGTGGGACTTTCATTTTAAAATACAAATTAAGAAGAAAATAGAAAACAGGAATGGGATTAAAAATTGAGAAAAAGTGGGTTGGATCTTTAGATTTTATGAATGGGAATTGGTTGAAATTTGGAGTTGGGAAATGGGATTGTTTGAACTTCCTTTACTCTCTGTGCATTTTGATCATTCTTGTCATTTTTTTTCTTCTCCAGGTGGTTCATATATTTTGTGCGTTCACCAGTACTTTACTAACATTTGAAGTTACACAGACGGACAGGTGGGCATACAATGAGCTGAGTTATTTAAATCATCCTACTTACATAGGAATCATTTGTGGATTCTTCTAATAAAAGCATCAAAAGCAACTCTGAGTTAAACACTGTTTAGAATGGTTGCAAGGTTTTATTGCAAATTATTTTATACACTTATCAAAGGCAAACATTTCAAATCATGAAGAGCGTATTTTTTGTAAAGAAAATGCACAGGTTTATGCTGGCATTATCCTTTAATCCAAAGATGAGAGAGTCCTACTCCATTGACAACTCAAACTCATTCAGCTGCTATTGACAGCATTTAAGGCTTTCTCTGTCTGAAAACTTCAGAATCAAAGCTGTTACCAGTCAAGTGATAACCCTACTATTTATTATTTGTTTTTGGTTGTTGTTTAACAGAAGAGAAGATATAAATGCTAGGATTTATGAAGAAACTGGAATCGCTTTGGATGACCAGGTCATTGTTTCTCCTGCTGGACAGGAAATTGGTGCTGATTCACCCATGTTGGAATATATTCATAAAAATGTAAGCCTGACGCTCACTGTTTTTTTTTTGTACATAGTAACGTAATAGCCGACATGCAAATTACGCATCAATAGTCACATACAAAGGAATCAAGACGAGGCGCCGTGCTTTTTTGTGAAAAATCTATTGTCTTTAGCACGGCACCTCGTCTTGATTCCTTTGTATGTGACTATTGATGCGTAATTCGCAAGTCGGCTATTGATACTCTGGTTCTATCATAATCACCCGTCGTACCTTGCGCGCTCGTATTATTGTTTACATACGTTTAAATGCCTCAAGCATACAATAAATTATAGATTGATAGTACCTGTGAGGTACTTAGTTAAAGGTATTTCTGTCCAAACTGAAAGAATGGAAGACGATTCGCGCTCACTTTAAGAAATCCTACAAATCSGCCATTTTCGTGTCCACCTAAAATGGCGCTTCGGTTCGCAAGGTACGGCGGGTGGTTATGATTCTTTAATAAATAACATGKCTGAAACTGCTTTCCGTTCACGTTTTTCAGTTGTTTTAGTGTTCTTCCATTTCTTAGATTTTGTCCCTGTCATTCCATCTCAGTCTTTTTATTCATTCATTTTTTTATCACAAAATTCATTCATTCACTGATTCAATAATCCACTCGTTCAACCATCTTTTGTTCCAAGGCCCTTATCACTTCGTTTGGGAAATAAGAGCCTGGGAACGAGGTTGCCATCTCTCTTAACTCCGACGAAGGATTAACGTCCGAAACGTCAGTAACTTATTTCACCTACTTTTTTACAGTGTTAGATTTATCTTTAGAAACACCTATGCAGCTCACACTAGTTTACCGCTAGTTCCCACCATCTCTCCATATATTCATTCATTTATATTTTTGTTCATTTCAGAACGGAACACCGTCGACGCTATATTTATTTTCCAAGAGCAATATACCAGCTTCACCACGTCCTCTCTTCACCCTTCCTTCTACATTACAATCAGTTGGTAAGCTGCAAATCTCTCCCTCGTCTAAAGCCAAAAGCTACTGAGTAAGGGTGGGGTGGGTATCGGGGCGTTGTTGTAGTTTTTCCTGACTAAACCCTCTCACGCCCCACCGCACTAAGTAAACGTTTGGTTTTCAAGTATTTTGCACTTGTATGAATAAACTCTATTTAAACGTTGTCCTGTTTGAATTGTAGTTACAGAATCGAAAACTCTCCTACCTTATCTTGTAAGTATTTGTTTTATAAAATATTTTCCTATTTTTTCTGGGAGTGAGGAATGAACGACAGAAGATTACCCCTGGGTTCCCGAGGATGGAGCGCGCGTAAATTCATTGAAACAAGGCGCGCTCACTTGTTCTGACCAATCCAAGCGCACGTAAGATTAAATGGCGTAATCCGTGCGAGTGTACTTTATAACACAAGGTTCTCGACCAATCCAAGAACGCGTTATATACCAAAAATTTTACAAATTGTATAATATACTTCAATAGCTGTTATTGGTTTCTATTTTAGGAGCAAAAGAGAATTCATGCCGAGGCACTCAGTTTTTGTTACAAGCAAATGAAAAACTACAAATATCTGATTCAGGCGCATCTRACATTACTGTAAGTACAATAATAAGAACTGCTTCCTAGTGCAACAAAGGTAAACTGCAAAATGCAAATATCTAGTTTGACTGAAAAACGTTTAGGATCAATTCCTGACCTGTTAATTCTAAACATTCGCATTGGTTGTACTGTTGTATTTCTACCATTGTTCCTCTAGAAAGAAATGCGAGAAACTTTGAAGTTTAAACTAACGCCAAATCTGTCCCGAATTGTTGCTGTTCAAATCTTTCGTTTTACACCTAAATTCATCCAACTTATCACATAATAAAACTGGAAATATCCTTGCTGGTACTTGGGGAAAACGTTTTGCGCAAAGTACCCAGAATCAACTTCTTGCAACAAATTTGCTTTTCGTTGCTTGCTCTTAATCTAATCATTTTGTTTTTACAGAAAATATACTTTGAAACTACACTCCAGATTATCACAGCTTAGGACAAACTTGACTTCTGATTGTATACGTCTTGAGGAACGAATTACGTTTTGCAGAGAGAGGTACTGTTTAATACTTCACGAAGAATCAATTCTCGATGACGTTTTCTACAATTATTTTGTTATTCACTAACATGAAACTATTTTCACGTGTATTTTAGCCTTCACACTGATATTGAACACTTCTCTGACGTCGCACGTTTTCTCGAGCTATCAATGAAACAAAAGAATATGTTACTTGGTTCTGAGGCTAACACAGAGCAAACCAGAACTTGAAATTGGAGTATTCTCGATGACGTTTTGTACAGTTATTTTGTTATTCACTAACATGAAACTATTTTCACGTGTATTTTAGCCTTCACACTGATATTGAACACTTCTCTGACGTCGCAGTAGACTTGCATGCAAATGATATGATCCTCCGTTCATGGAGGGAAGGCGAAAGAAATTGGATTCATTTCGACAAGGTAAGTTTAATTTTGGTGTCAAAAAAATAATTTCCTCTCTCATTAGAGGACCYCTTTGAATGAGCGGTTGTAAAATATTGCTTGCAGAAACTGAAAGCATATATTCGGCTCTCTAACTTTCAGTCTGGTGTCATGGAGGCGGAAAAGCTTGCTATCTCAGCCCAAACCCAAGTCCTTGAATTACAGAAAATTCCGTTTAATCAATCACAACCCGTGTCTAATCCAATGGAAGAAATGTAAGTATTGAATAAATGGTAATTTTTCTCTAGTTCATTTTGCTGTTAGTGTTTCGCTAAAAAGTTTACATTAAGTTTTTTTTATGTTTTTTTTTTATAGATATAACTCTGCAGTTATTGTTTATGAAGGCTTTAAAAGAGCAAATTTAACAAGTGAGTAGCAAATTGTAAAACTTGAGTAAAAAAATCTTAAGTAACACTTGACTGGCTTTCCTAAGTTTTAATCAATTAAAATATCATCATGAGAATGTTAGATTGGCGCTTTTCGTCACTGGCAGCCAATCAAAAAGCATGAAACTTCTTGGAAAGCATTGAAGAGGTTTCTCGAAATTGGAAACATCGGAGATGCGTTTTTGGGACATTTTAGTTCTGTTATGTACATTAAATAAACAGGGATACTATTTTAATGCTGTTTTTGACTTCTTTCTTTCACTTAGGCTACGACCAGAAGATGGCAGACTGCAGTAAAATAGCTGAAGTTGTTTTGAAATGYTTAACAAAGAGAGAAAAGTTAAACAAGGAAATGTTCACTCATTTAAGGTATGAAAATGTTACATTTTCTTGTTCGTTCACTTGTTTGTTTATTGGGAATTCTGTATTTTTGTACATAGAGTCTTGTAGCTACAACTTTTTGTCGACAAAAGGTGTGTTCTTCTATGTATTTTTATTTATGTTTTTCTTTTCTACAGACGAATTCTTCAATGTTCAACAGAACTACAAAATGTCGTACCTAAAGTTATTGAGAAAACTCGGCAAATTTCTCATCACAAGGACCACATACTGCAGGTTTCTTATTACTGAGAAAATCATTASTATGCATGRAAWCTGGAARTGATTGGTCASAAAATGACATGTTCATGTCAAASACTKTTGTTGATTGGTCGATACAGATGAAGCCATTTGAATGCTTTTACGTGCGCACAATTTTAGGGTCGCGAGCACGAAGCTTTTGTGTTATTTAAAAAAATAATCAAATGTTTTTCTTTTCTGTATTTCTAGATCCAGAAACAAAGACAAGAAGACGTTTGGTGTCTYATATCCAATAAGGTTTGAACTACTCGCTTAAATTGACCACCAATGTTTCTGGAAAACATGTACTGAAGTGCAAACAGCTTTAAGTAACTTACATCGTGAATTTACTTAGAGCGGATTTCGTATGAGTGGGAAACGGACGGTACTGTACTGTGACCGTAATCGTACTGTAACCAAATTCTAGTGCCCCATTGGTTCACCAAAATTTTGAAGGCCAGGTCCGGTAACTGTGCGGTAACCGTGCGGTAACGGTGTCCCACTCATACGAAATCCGCTCTACAATATCTCTCTTGCAGCAAGACAGTGTTGACTCAGGAGTTAATTATCCCACGTTAGATTTAACATTATCAAGGTGATTTTAAAAGTGTATTTTCAATATTTCTCAATCATACACATTTTTGCAGTTATTTGTACACTATGAAAYATGGTTATGAAACATGAACTACTAAATACGGTGGGAAATCATTCATTGATCTTTTCTTCATTTTTAGTTACAAAATGGACTCTTCAGAACTCACGAAACAGAGTTTGCAAAATATCGAAAGGCGAGTGTTAATACACGACTTGAGGATGCTCGGCATGCTTTAAAAAAAATATCGCAGGAGTTTAGATATAGTGTTCCGAAGCTTATTTTACTCGTAAAGAACCCGTTTTCATTACACAAGTGCAATATTTTTGACATTGTCCAGGAGTGACATTTCTTTTTCTTTTTATCAATTTATCGTTAACCATATTTCTAACTGTTTATAATAGATTGTCTGAGGTCGTTCAGTCCGTGAAAGTGGAGTACGGTAACGTAGCGCCAGAGGTTAGTTTCTCGTTTAMCACAACTGTTATTRGAGTGATTTTCCTGCGACTGGCAACGCATATTAGGCAAACTAATAGAGATTATTATGCTGTGATAGTTGCCCTTGTTACGTGATGTCCAGAAAAACAAAAAGTGGCCCGAAAGGGCAGTTTGAAGGCAATTATGAAGCTCTAAGCAATGCTTGAATAGCACTGTTTTATCTTGTTTTTAAAGAATTTAGATTCGAAAGGGCAGTTTGAAGGCAACTATGAAGCTCTAAGCAATGTTTGAATAACACTGTTTTATCTTGTTTTTAAAGAGTTTAGATTGGAGTTTCCTAGAAGAGGAAGGGCAGTTTGAAGGCAACTATGAAGCTCTAAGCAATGTTTGAATAACACTGTTTTATCTTGTTTTTAAAGAGTTTAGATTGGAGTTTCCTAGAAGAGGACACTGAAGTCTGAAGAAGATGATATATCTATTAGATCCTCGTTTTCCGTCAAGAATCACATATGAATCTTTTAACACGAAACCAAATAGGAATATGCGACCTAAAATATGTGTAGAATATATGTATGGATTTTACAGTAGGTTTTATTTTATTCTAGAAGTGTATAAAATAGATTACTTGCAAATTTTCGTGGAAATACGGTGGAAATAAAAATTCTAATTTATATTCGGGTTGCCTGTGTAATAGGTACCGCTGTACATAATTATTGCTTTTCATAGTAAAAGTTATGCAATCAAAATGGCTKGTGTACTTCGTTGTTTTGCGCGACAGAATGMTGTTCTTTTTGGAACSARGRGATCTCTWCGYCSTTTGATGASWAGTAGAATTGTTCTCTCTTCTTGTAGTACTCGTTTTATGTCAGATAGGGTRATAGATCCGCCATATTTGGGCCCKCCGGTRCCGAATTACAAAGTAAGAGAAGGCGAAAGTGTTGAGACGAAAAGATCGAGGTTGCTTTATCAAAGCAGGTYCGTTCCAATATCTTTAAATTATATTAACTTACTTTTTAAATTATTTTCAATTTTATGGTGTTTGTGGGGATGTAGCAAAGACAGCAAGGGGCAAAGATGTGGACTTAAAGAAACCCAACCAACCACAATACAGTGCGCGCTCGTGTTATTAGAGAGTTTTAAAAGCATCACGTTTACGGCAAATGGCTAAAGGCAGAGATGAACCAATGACGTAAGAATTTCGTGCCTGACCTTGTGCTTTTGGTAGTGACTTTCACAATTACTGCAAATTCAAAATAATCCACTCTCATGCTGAAATAACGGTAAACCCCCAAAAAGTAGGTCACATGATCTTTTCTGCCATTTGCTGTAAACGTCATGCTTAAGTTCTCTTTTGTTCATACATCTAAATGCGCCAAGCATACAATAGATTATCGATTGATAGTAATGTGAGGTACTTGTTGAAGGTATTTCTGTCCAAACTGAAAAGATGGAAGACGATTTGCTCTCACATTAAGAAATCCTGCGAATCAGCCATTTTTGTGCCCACCTAAAATGGCGCTTTCACTTGCAAGGTGCAGCGGTTATGATTCTTTAAGCCATTGAAAGTATATTTAATATTTTGCTTGCAGGAAAAGAGGAATGCTTGAAAATGGACTTCTGCTCAGCACATTYGCCAACAAATACTTGAAAAACTTTGACAAAGAGTCTTTAGAACTATACGATAAACTTATCAACCAGCCATCTAATGACTGGGACCTATACTACTGGATGATAGAGAACCAACCTACACCAGAGGAATACAACAACAGTGTTATGGACTTGCTTAAAGAACATGCGAAGAATGAGAAAAGAGATGTGCGACTCAGACAGCCAGATCTTGAGGGGGCTTAGAATAAATTCTCCCTTACAATAAATGAAGATGTAAAAAGAATGAAGCTTTACAAATATTTAAGATTRTTTTCGAGTGTTGGATAAGGAATGTTTTGTTTTTGTTGAGACAATACATGGTGGCATATTTCTTAAAAATTTTAAGATTATTTATATTACATGCTACTCAAGCAGCGAATATCGTGTCTTAGTTTATTTGAATTTTTCTTGATATTCTCCTCTATGTAATTATGATATTATAAAAGGGGGTTATCAAGAAAGTTTGGTTGTTACAAATAAGGTGAAGTGAACTAAATTTTTACATTTGGGCTTCCTGTGTAAAAAAATCAATCAAAACATTCACCTAAACTAAGGGAGAAATGATCAAAATAATCCCTAAAATTACTGTAAAATAGCTAGTGGACAATTGAAGACGTCCAATATTAAAGAAAAGAAAAATTTAGGATTTTAAAGGAGAAAGCGTAAGTTGCTGGGCTTCCTGTGTATCATTCGTCAGGAAGTAAGTTGCTTTGGAAACGAGCCTCAACAAGTTATAGGGACTTTATCGAGTTTTTTAACCAAAACATCTTCCCGCTTTGTACATTTTAGCATTGTAACACGACAATGGACATTTCAGCAATTATTTCTGGTATTTGTATACCATTTTCCTAAAATTTTGACAAGCTTTTTCTTATTTTCGCGCCAAAATGGCTACTGCCCAAGATGGCGAACACGAACGCGGAACCGGACAGTCCTCCAGTTCAGATCTACAAATTCCACCGAGATATTCAGCACTATATGAAGCGGCAGAGAAAGGTGATGTGCAAGAAATAAGCCGGYTACTTTTGCATAAAATGGTAGATGTTAACGGTCGAAGTGGCGAACACGGGGCTCTACGAACGGCTCTTCACGGGGCTGCCGGCTATGGGCACTGGAAGGCAACAAAGGCGCTCTTGATGGTAATTTTTGAGCTTTTAGGTTGATTTGTCTGTTTTTACAATTCTAATTAAATATATTTTGTGTGTTTATTATTACTATGGGGGTTTGTTTATGCAAAAAAGAGTAAAAACAGCTGTTATTTGGTGGGTTTGTTGACAAGTTTTCTCGAGATGGGGCGGGGGTGAGGGAGGGGGTTTATAATATTCTTGGCCTTCCTTGCACTCTACATCATATAGGTTGTCAGTTAAGTGGTTGAATATCCATCTATCAAAGCCAGTTCTTGGAAGGGTTGTTAAAGTAAAGTTATCCATTTCTTAGATTTTATAATTATTATTATTATTAATTAATACGAATTATTATTATGTCAGGCAGGTGCAGACCCTGATTCTCGTAGTGACTTGGGCAGAACACCACTCCATGAAGCCTGCGCTGGAGGTCATTCCAGTGTCGTACGWGAACTACTACCTTTCATATCCAGTGCCGATTCTTTGGACAGCCATAAGCAGACAGCAGCTCATGTTGCAGCATTTCATGGTGAGGTGGACTGTTTGAGACTGCTGATTGGCCACRGCAGTGATATGGGGATTGAAGACAAAGATGGCTGTACTGTGGCACATTTRGCAGCAATGAGAAATCATCCTGATGTTATAAGGTAACAACAATGACGACCTTACTGTATTTTGTTAACTAAAGTAAGATAATCTTGTTTATCATGATAGGACCTGTGTTTTCCTGGACACATGCCTCTTAAAAAAAACATCAGAAATAGTCACAATAGGGGGCATATGACACTGCTCAAGTGGGCCATACAAACCTGTCAATCTGTCCTGCTCATTAAGCACTTGGAAACCTTTGAATGAAATGCTTTCATTAGTCTCACAGCCGTGTTTAGTTTTGGTCACACATAAGGCAAACTCTCCTCGTTTCACGTGACTGAAGCTATACACGGCTGTGAGGAGACAATGCTTTCATAGGCTCTTTGTCACAATTGATTTTTGCACTCTTGTTCTGGCAATTTTGTCAATTTTGTGGCTTGTAATGCACAACATACAACTCAAAACTGTACAGTTTCTTTTATGTTAAATTTTAAGGTGCCTTTTTGAAGAGGATGCTAACCTCAACTGCCTTGACAAACACAACCRGACGCCTGCCCACTATGCAGCCATGAGCAACGGTATCAAAGTATTAAAAGTCCTAGCACACAATGATATGGATGTTAATAGCAAGGATGCAGACGGCTGYGTACCTGCGCACTTAGCCGCTTTCCATAATAGTTTGGCATGCCTCCAGTTTCTCATCACGTCTGGACTGACAAAGAACGAGGCACATGATCGCACAGGAAGAACACTACTGCACTTGGTAAGGGCTCATGACTAAATTATCCACAGGTAGCCCAAGCTCAATGTTTTTATTTCCTTTTTTTTATTCTTGATTGCAGGCATCTATAAGTGGTGCTACAGAATGCTTGCATTGGCTATTGGAACACAGAGTTAACCCTTATGCTAGAGATGGTAAGTACTGTGGGTGGAGAGGGTGGGGTTTATTTGTTGCTTAGTAATCAAGTGACTGTAATATTAGGAACCATTTTACCAAGAATATTCTTATCATTCAAAGGTTCGGCAAACATTCCATTACATTACGCTGCTATAGGTGGGGAGGGTGGGGAGGGTGGGGTCTATATTTGTTGCTTAGTAATCAAGTGACTGTAATATTGGAAACCATTTTACCAAGAATATTCTTATCATTCAAAGGTTCGGCAAACAGTCCATTACATTATGCTGCTATAGGTGGGAAGGGTGGGGAGGGTGGGGTCTATATTTGCTGCTTGGTGATCAAATGGCCGTAATATTAGGAACCATTTTCAACAAGGAAATTCTTATCATTCAAAGGTTCGGCAAACAGTCCATTACATTACGCTGCCAAAGGAGGGCATGCTCAATGTATTAGCTGTCTACTTCTTCATAAGGCAGACATGGACGCACAGACACCTCAAGGGCTAACTCCCCTTGACTATGCTAAGAAAGCTGGAAAAGCAGTGCCATTTGAAAAAGCAGGTACAATGAAATTCAATTTGTTAAAAAGCTACATCTTCCACTTACTAGTTGTTATAATATTCAATTTTTTGTGCACTAAACCAGTGCCATCCTAATAACATTGTTATTTTTCAGTAAGCAAAGAGATCCGTTGCTCCATGTGTGTTGCTAAGCAACAACAGATAGAATACGATTTGGCTCACCAGCCCACCCCAGTGGAGAAGAGTATTGCTGAAAGTGAGTCAGTCATATTCAACTCACCTAAGAATCTTGACACAGAAGAATCACTTACAAGGTATTGACAAGTGTGCAAATCAAGTTAGTGTGCTCGCACTAAATGCGTGAAATATAAATACTACAAAATAGGTGATAAATTATACAAATTCCTTGTTTCCTATTGTATAATCAACACTATTTAGTAGTAATTAGTACTATTTGTTTCACGCTTTAAGTGCTAGCACTCTACTAGTAACATTTGTGATAAAAATTATGGTTAAGGTAGAACTTTAATTACCATATCATTATTTTCAGTCATCCATCAACAGCAAGGCCAAGGTCATCAAAAACAAAGCAATCACCCAAAAGACCAACAGACAAACCGCCTGTCAATCAAGGTGCCGCAGAGCTTCCCAAGCGTGACTTGGCCACAAAGTACTTTGGAGAATATCTGTTTTCTTTGCCTGAGGTTTTGAAGAGTTCTTCACGAGGATCTAGTAGAAGTTAAGACTGCATATCTGTTAGTATAGGTAGGTCAATACAAAGGGGTAGCATTCAGGATTATTATATGGAGTTTTGAAGAGCAAATCTGTCCCATGAATCTCGTAGAAGATAAGACTTTCTTAGGGATGCAGTAGGTCCACAAAGTCTTCCTTCCCTTGAGGGCTGCCAGGGGAGATTGCTAGTGCTCTTGCATGTACTTTACAAGAAAAATATTTTAACTATTTGTACATTGTTGCCCTATAAACTAAGAATTTGTATGAGAAGAAATAGTATTTTTCATACAGTAGCATTCAAGTCATTTTGCTTTCAAAMTTGCATCTTTTGGGRCAAACTCCKTGTTGTCCTTTAAGCTAAAGAATTGCGGGTGAAATAAGTTCTGYAGTGTAATYGTGGCATTTCAAATTTTAGAGATATTGTATCTACAAAATCGTTTATAAGCAACACATTTATTTCTACACTTAATAAATATAAGAAAACAGTTGAATCAGAGACTACTGRGGTATTTTGCAACTGTTTGACTTTCACAAGTCCGTTTTTCCATTCATTTCATTATTCACTTTATGTTCAATATTTACCCATTCCTTGGAGACAAAAAGAGAGTCCGACTCGGGCAAGTCTAGAAGACTGTAAAGCAAAAAAACTACAACACAAAAAATCTAAGTTTAACTACTTATAAGGCAAACACAATAAAAATTCCTGGTCGTCACAAATCCATGAAACCTCTGTTAAATATTTTTTTAAAATAAGTGTGACACTGCAACAATAATAACAATAATTTTATTAACACACTAAAATAACACACTATGATATTTTCACAATAATTTGTATGTTATATTCAATCAGATAAATATGGAGTTGTAAGAGAGTAACTAAGGACAAGATGTGAGTGTAGTCTCCTTTGGAGCTTACCCATTGTTGGGCTGCCTGTTTGGGAGAGACAGGAAGCCCAATAAAAGGGGAGGCTATGAAGGAGACTAATGTGAGTGGAAAAGTATAAACTAAGTAGCGTTTATAATCTGTGAGACTTGAGGATAATCTCTCATGAGTGAGTGTAACAAAAACAAGTGAGAGATTTTCAACAAGAGAAGATAAAATTCATATCTTTAAGTGGTCCATGTAATATTCTCTTTATCATATAATTACATATGAAAGCAAATTGTGACGTAAAATACCATTTTTTCTTACTTCCATTAGATAGAGAAACCTCACTAGTAGGGAAAATAACAACTTTAAGTAATATGGAGAAGTATAGGATGGAATTCTATAGATAATTATGTGATAAATTCAATCACAATAAAACATTTTAAAATTTATAGTTAAAATAATAAGTCTTTTAACCTTAAAAACAGATTAAAATATTTAATATCATCATTAAAATATTAATATCAACAATAAATAACGCCGTATTAAAATCGTTAGTATTTGTCATATATTTTGATATGAACTGTTATTAATACCTTTATATTCTAAATTTCTGCTCAATTGAGACTTTGTAATGGATAGATAAGGATAGAGCTTTCAATTCGATTGAAAATGATCAGTTTTCTTTGTTTTGGACTCTATGAACTTCATCTTTCAGGGAGCAAATCTATCTAAGAGACTAAAGAGTTTTTTTAGTTCTCTGCCTTAAAGATGAAGATTAAATTTCACATAAAATGGACTTTACATTATAATAATTATGTATTTACCCTGTGCGAGTAAATGGCCCATGCGCAAAATATTAAAACTCTACCTTATATTGAATATCTGTGTAACTATGTAGTATGGTAATACAGTGCATTAAAAATGTTAATATAACTTAAGTATTATTTTAAAAGTATTATTAAATAGCGTTTTTGTGGCACCTGTACACTTACAAAGGAAAAATCACTACGTAAGTAAGTCTGTCACTTCAACAAAGGAAACCCAAATTACACACGTGCAAAGTTAAATCATAAAATGCTGAGCAAAACTGGATGCTTTTCTATAATATTTTTTTTTGTTTTTTTTTTCCATAATTTTTTTCATGTGCAATCACACTTTTTAAATCTTATTATAAAATTCAAAACTATTTTTTATAGTAATCATTATTAAATCACGAATGATGCCAACATGGTACATTAAACTCATGAATGAATAATTGCTTTTAAACTTCACAAATTCATGAAAGATGCTGTAAAAATAGTGTGTCATATGTGGGCAATTTACATTGATTTTCATCAAATTGTTTGCAAATCAGTAGATTTTTGTAGTTTTCTGGAAAATTTGGATGATTTTGATTTTTGAAATAATTTCTGACCCCCAAGATATTGCTGTAAAATGCTAGAACCAAGAAGTTGAAAGCCTAACTCCTTTTGACCATAGAAATCAAAATAGTTGTGTAGAAAGATAAATTTAACAGCTTACTGACGTTTTTTGTCTCTTTACTCCGACAAAGGATCAACATCGGAAACATCTATTCAGTAAGTTGTTTCACCTTTTTTCACGATTTGCGATGTTAAATTTATCTTTTTATACACAACTGTTTCTTTAGAAACACCGACGCATCTCACTAGTTTACTTCTAGTTTCCACCAAATCTTAAAATATCCCAGTTTTCAGTTTCTGCTTTGCTCATTGCTACTTAATGAACAAAACAACAACGTTACTGAGAGTGAACTGGGACTTGTGAAATCAGGTCTTGAAAACATCAAAATGATGATTTAATCTTAGGAATAATTACAAATAATTTATTTAAATATTTAATCATTAAAACTGACGTCAAAACTAGTMATTAAATTCTTTCTTAAAGTCAGAAAGTGCAAACAATAAAACCATAAAATGGTTTTAAAACTAATGCTAATTACTATTGAATTCATAAATTCGAATTCCTAATAACACTGTATATTTATGTTAATACCTTTTCCATGCTTTCAGTGTTTGCACTCTTTGTATGTATCTTAAAAGTTAAAAATTAAAAAGAACTGAAAACTGGTCCCCATTTTGTTGTATGCCAGGCCAAATTCACTATATACTGATATTGTTTTGATACATAGCTAAAATGAACATTACTGCAAACCCAAATAGCATGCCAAAGCCTTGTAAAGCAAACATTTTTATACTCTTTCCTAAAGAGCCTGCACCTTCCTTGAATGACATCTCTGTCGCTTCTTGTAACTGAATGGGAAATAAAAGAATGGAATGAGAAAATGATAGAATGGGTTTTCCTCTTAAATACTAGTAATAAAGTAAGGAATTTCAAAGAGCCATGGTCAACCAACAACCATATTCTACTTCTGTTCATTGTAAAGGCTTAACAACAACAAAATAAATTTATTTTGCTTACGTGCATGACAGAAAAGCGAAATATAGAAAACAAAGTTCACTTTGAATTTATTGCTCACTTTGTTACTTTGTTATTGAAACTTTCATAACCTCTGAAAAGGTCTAATAGGTACATGTAGTAATGTTGTTGTTTATAATACATAATTATTATTAATTAACATTGTCATCCTTCTTATTATTAATATATATTTAGTAATAATTGATATTATTATTAATTCCAAATTTACTTAGCTCTCACCATGTCAACTAATGATATATAAAGAAACATCCCCCCAGCAAGTGCATAAATCCATTTAACTGCTGATGTCGAGTAGCCTAGCAACAAGCCAATAACAAGTCCAAGAAAACATGAGCAGGCTGAGAAAAAGTTGAAACACATAGCTTGTTTGTAAGTCATGCCACCATTTAGCAAAACAGCAAAGTCACCTATAAGCAAACAAACTCAACGTCAGTCTATCTATCATCTATTCACYGGTTCATGCATCCATCCTTTTATTAATATCCTCAAACATACCAAGTTCATGTGGTAACTCCTCACAGAATATAGCCAAAGCTGTACTTAGACCACTGTACACAGAAGTAGAATATGCTGCACCTATGGCTAGACCATCAATAAAATTATGTACAGCATCTCCTATAACAATCATCCATGCAACAGGAGCAATATGCTGCTTTTCTTTGTTATGTTCCTCCTTATTTGGTTCCTTGATGGTGATAGACTCCTCTGAAACGGAGTTTGAGAATGTTGTAGTTTGAGAGCAAACTCCGCTGATGACGTTTGCATCTGGTTTGCGATTTAGTTTGCTGTCGATTATAAGTCCTCCTGACGTGTGGTCATGTTTAGGGTCTCCYTTGTATTTATAGAGTTCTAGCTGTGCGACTGCAATGCCTTGTCCTGGGATTTCACTTTTACCCTGAAACAAAAAGCTAACATCGTTAATAACTTTGTTTGGCTCCTTCTGTATGCCCCAGGAATACAGCACTGAGAGAAACCTGCTTTTTTGCAGCTCTATTGTTAGGTTAGGTTTTGTTAAATCTATTGTTTGTCCATTGTTTACTCAACCTGTCAGGAGACCCGTTGCAATTGGTGCTGACTGGCCCGTAGGCCCCAAAGCATAGATTATGTCATTCAATAGTCGAAACAAAAGTAAAAACAATGGAATTGATGATAAGAAATACCCAGAATGCAAAAGAAACCTAAATAGAATAGACAAGATTCTAGTGTACACTGAAAGAACCTCCCCCCTCCAAAAAAAAACACACACACACAACAACAAACAAACAAACAAAAAAGTATTAGTATTTAAAAGTTCAACGAAGTACTAAACCTTTTTCAAAAAGCCAAATCATGTAACTGATTGCTAGCTTTTGATACAAGTCTCAATTGACTGTTAAATTAAAATACTATTACTTACATTTTGCATGGATTTTAATCCATGAGAGTGACCATGTCCATTGCCCTCACTCACGATACCTTCCTTATGTCTTATGTAAAGTTTCATAGTGTATTCGAGAAGAAAGAAAAAGTAGATTCCACCAACAACTACRGCAGACTTATACAGGAARGACACATCACTGGAATCAGCCAAGCCAAAAGTCTAAATATTAAAAATAATTATTTAGTTTTTGCATATGCAAACTTCATAAGCATCAATTCACTTTTAATATGCAAAAATCACATCATGAATTATTTGTCAATATTACTCGTAATTGAACATMTGAATTTGTTTTTAACTATTCCAAAACGTTATGCAATAGTTTGAAGTTAATGGTGTGATGGTTCGTAAAAACGAATTTCGACAAAATGCAAATTCCGTTGCCGAGGTAACGTTGATAGAGCTAAATATTATGCCAAACAAAACTTTGGTGACCAATGCTTTAATACTGGTCCAAACACGAAACAAATTGGTGCATAGCAAGATTTTCAAAAAGCGAATTTAAAATGAGAGGTATGGTCGAAAAACCAATGTAGGAAGCCACCTTAAGCCACTGGATTTATGATCAACAATCAATTTTAAGTTACATTACAGCTAAAATAGTGAAGTAATTTTTATTATCTACTTCAGTTGAATACCGTTTATAAACCATTTTATAGTTTGTCTGAACATACTGCCCATAGCYCCAAGGAAATTTTCATTGYCATTCTATTTTGTACTGTTTCAAAAACTAAACATTTCCCCTTACATTTGGTAAAAGATGAAAAATCCCGCTGCCACCCAAAACACCCACAGCCAGAGATACCATGAACAACAGAAGCTTTTTATAAAAGGTATGGCTCATAAATGGGACGACAAAGGCTCCAAGCAACGAAGCAGCGCTTATAATGCCTACTGATAGAAAGCCATAACCCCATGCTGAAAGATATAAGCAAATGAATAATATTAGAAAAACTAGAAATACATAAAACTAAAAATATGTTGACTACTAAATCATGAAGGAAGAAGTATGAAATAAGGAAGAAATTAAAATTTATTTCTGATAGTTTACATAACAACGTTCTTCATATCATACCCATACCAATAATTCTTCATATCATACTCAGCCTTAATCAATAATTTTCATATCATACTCAGCCTTAATCAATAATTCTTCATATCACACTCAACCTTAAGCCGCGTGGCTGCCAATTGCGCCTTAAAACAGCGGTCCGTGTGAAATGATCTATACATGTGAAGCGCCTTTGAACTCAGAGGATATCGGCGCTATATAAATACCACATATTATTATTAATCAATAATTCTTCATATCATACTCAGCGTCAACCAATAATTCTTCATATCATACTCAGCCTCAACCAATAATTCTTCATTATATCATTCCCAGTCACAGCCAATAAGAACATTGTTTTAAATTGATATTCGCACCTTTCATTTTAGATTCCTTAGTTTCAACAGGATCTTTGTTTTCATCATCTTTACATGCCGTACTGTCAATTTGTTGCACAATCGCAGGGCAGACAGTTTGAAAGCTGGCTTTATCAATACCAGTTGCATTGAGAGAAAATATTCTCAGTAAACTTGAACCTGTAAAACACTAAAAAATACAAATGGATTTATAATCTGTGAATTTGATAAAATAATATAAAATGAATATATAGAGTGCAACAACTAAAACCAAGGTCGCATCTAATGTAGTGATAATAGTTGAAAAAAGTGTAAAGTAACATTGCTTTTTTATTTATTTATTATGTATTTTTATTTTTATTTTTTTTTTGCCTTGTAGTTTGGTGGATAAATCTGAAAGTTAGCACTACACATATTTAGTACTTTTCAGTAAAAAAAATTTCCCAATTTAAGAGTGTTTAATTTACAGTGCAAAGCTCAAAAGGCTGTTTTCCTACATCTCAAATTTACAGAAAAACTGAAACTGAACTTTTGACCTTATATAATTGTACCTTGASCTGCTATTTTTGCTTTACAAAGGGTTTTTCATTTCAATATTATTAACATTTGTTTTTGAGTAACTGTACTAAATGTTTCATTTTGATATATAATTTTGGTATATAAAACCTGGGAAGATGGGTTGGGGGGATTGCTAGTACATTTTGAGGTCATTGAAATCAGTAAATTGGCCACTTTTAGCTTGGTATCTTTTAAAATGTTATAGTAATTCAAGGAACTTACTTGTAATAATTTGTATATACTTCATTTTATATGGACCATAGAGTAAAATAAAAAAAGATGGATATTTTTTTGTTTTAAATACTGATCAACTTGTTTTTTTTATCTATTTTTCCAGTTATTTATTATTTAACAATAAAATATTTGTTASAAACGAAAACTACAATAGAAATGATCTAGTAATTTAAATTCAGTTTTAAATTAGCCTTATAATAATAACTGAATTTAAATTACTGCAATTTGACAGCAGTTCTATTATAATTTCAATGTAGTTACGAACACACGAGACCTGCCACGCAGGCCCTTTTGTCCACGTTCAAAGAAACAAAGACAAGCTGATCACTTTAATATTTTGTCTACATAAATCTACCATACGCTGACTGACACATGAAAAATTAAGGAGTTGTTACAAAAAATATTTTAAGTAAGCTTAATACACCACAGTTAAATAAATAAATTTGTGCTAGCGAAAACACACATAGGTACGTAAATTAGCCATGTGCTTTAAGTTTGCTCCTTTCAAAAATTGATTACTCACAAGTGCACAGTGTCTGATACAAATTTTATACTCGTGGCAAAATTGCTGTAATTCGAGTCGAATAACCTGTTATATAATCCGTTTTAAATCTCCCTTGTGATTAAAACGTTCACTTGTTATTGACAATTTAGTTCTTTATATTAATCTTTTGCGACTCAAACAGATCTATACTTACGTTGTTTTCAACAGATCCAATGTTTTTAGTCACATTTTCACCAATTCCCAAATTTTTCAAGAGATTTCCAAACTTGTCCAAGCTAATTTTCCCAGCGTTGTTGCCATATTTCTTGAACAACTGATCTGCGAAATCGCCGGCTGAAAGACCATCGGCACTTCGTATGCCATGATGTGAGATATGATGGGGCACAATGTTGGCATTTAAGGTACATATATTAAGAACAAGGCATAAGGAAAAAGTCCAGAACATCGTATTAATCTCTTCCGGCCAAAAAGCTGTTTTACTTGAGAATTTAGAAACAGATTGAATGAAACCATGCACGCGGACACGCGTTTTGACATCGAACATTGGTCACGTTGAACTCAATACCAGGCTTGCGCGGCCAAAAATATCGAGTAAGACTGGAAAACTGAAAGCATGTAAATGTTGAAGTAGTTGTGAAAAACGAAACAAATTAAGATCGTAGCAGAGAAATTTAAAATTGAGCTTTAAAATGTTATAAACATTTCATTTTTAGTGTATATTGATGATTTTCGTGGCTGTACTTTGTTCAAAGGTCTTTTGTTACTATGGCAACACTGCAAATGTGTCCCTTGAACATAGACCCTTTGCCAAAATGACCCTAGTGGAACTTATGAGGCATCAAGGTCAAACCCCAAAATAGTGCATTTTCATATGAAAATTAACTTACTATTTCAAAATGTTATAGAAATTATTTAAATAAGATTTTTTAACTCCCTTGTTATAATAGGCTCAGTCTCCAGCCGTCRGGATTTCRTGCGCCCGCGATACTCTCTCCCCTGAAATCCCGACRGCTGGAGACTGAGCCTATTGTTWWAATCGCCACATGATAAATTGTTATAGTTACTTTAATCTCCTTGCACAGGCAAAACAAATGGAACATAGTCATACAAAAATGTTTACTTTTATTATTAAAGTATAACAAAAAATATGMAAATACTTTGTCAAATTTCGTTACAAAAGACAAAGTGTTACATCATCTTACTAGTTTTAAATAAAAAAAAATGACTAAATATACTATGTCCTTTTGAGCATACAAAAATTTGTCATACAAAAATTGTTTTTATGAAAATACTTTGTCAAAGAATGTATACAAATGTAGCCAAGGCTGATATGATGTTGAAAATGTATATCGTGAATCCGAGCTTTCGCTGTACTWCAGCATCATCAGGGAATGACCTTCACTTTGTCAAAGTTTTTAAACTATTTAAAAATAGTTACAAACATATGTCCAAAAGACAAAGTATTACATTCGTCTTACTTTTAAAAGTTTTAAATTTCTAAAAATGACTAAATATTTGGTGCTTTTGAGGTCTTTCAGGGACTGAAAACAGGACCTCAAATAAATATTTTATGCAGGTCATTTATAACACCGCTCGTTGAGCACCCCTACTCTTTTTTCAAAGGAGTTTCCTGGGGCTTMAATTATGATATTTAAATACAAAATACCAATGCTCTGGTTATATGATGTGTGTCAAAATTAAGCTGAATTGTAACTTTAAATTAAAGTATTGTCAAAACTGTAAGTTTTCGATTATAATTATGTGTTGTTTTTTTTTTATTATCAAACATAAGCAAAAGCTTGTTTGGTATGCTCATTGGCCATGGCCCTAAAAAAAACTGTTTATTCTATGTTAATACTGTCTTCATAGAAGGCTAGAATAAACATTAAGCCAAACCCAAGTAACATGCCAAAGCTCTGTAAAGCAAACATCTTTAAACTCTTCCTTAGCGAGCCTGCACCTTCTTTGAAAGACAGCTCTGTCGCTTCTTGTAACTAGATGGGAATGAATGGATGATTGAGATGAAAACATAATTATTTAATGGGAAAGGGGGGAATRTAATGCCGGTTATTATATTAGGAAATATATTACTAAAAATTTTAGGTAATATATAAAATATGAGCGGGAGACCTTTATGGGCATTTCAAACTGCGAGCTGCAAGCKMGCAGTTTTATAGCCCATAAAGGTCGSACRCRAATATTTTATATTGCTTATCAAAYTCCAACATAAGGTAAAGCATATTTCGAAAAAAACGTCAGGATAAAACATCATTTGTAAGAGAAAATCGAAGTTAAAGTCGTATGCAAATCAGGACAAATCTCTTGCTCTTATAAAGATGGGGTCACGGCAATGATTTTCCATTGTGTTTAMCTTATGAATTATTAATGAATTTGATTTAACTATCACTTACCATATTGACCAATGATATGTATAGAAACATCCCCCCAGCAAGCGCATAAATCCATTTAACTGCTGATGTCGAGTAACCAAGCAACAAKCCAACAACA